GGTGATCTTGATTGTGTTTGGGCATCTGTTGTGAAAGGAACTTGGGTTCAGCCCAGCTGATCATTGTACTCTGCACGCTGTCCGTGGACTGCGTGGCCACACCCTCAACCAGTTGAATATCCCATCCATCTCCTAAATATCATCACCATTGCCATATCCTACAGTATCGATTCCCACAAGCAGAAACACCTTACTGTCCCTCGCAAGTGCTGTGGACCGGTGCAAAACGCGCAAACGATTATCGCCATTCCTACTGCCAAGGGTGGTGTGTGCCCTCCACTCCTTCTTGGTGATCCCAGCAACAATGGACGGCCACGTCTCCGCAGCCTTGATGTACCCGGCCACAATGTCGGGAAATCGAACCACAAACAATTTGTTTTCATGGGCGTTATACTCAAACAAGCCTTCAGCAATGGCAACCATCACCCCACCAGCACGGAAGAGAGGGTGAAACAAATGCTTTCTTCACTTCAAATAACCCAGTCACATCCCTTGACACCACTGGCATCATATTCGGCACAAAAACGTCGATCTTCTGCGGCAGTTGCACTTCCCCTGCCTTACTCCCCACAGCGGTCGCAGCTCCACTACCGCAGCACATCATCGCAACGATGAAAAGCGCGGCGGAAGTGACGCCGGGACATGTTGGGCCTCCGCGGCCCACTCTCTCCTCCTTCCCTCCTCCTTCCGCTGGATCCGGTCACGCGGCGACGGTTGTGTGTGCGGGGTGCCTTCACTGCAGCAACACGTGAGAGCATACAAATATGTGTGTGTGGGCGGTGTGTGTGCTGTTGGTCCTTTCAGTGCCTTACAATTTCACAGTGGCGATTAGCGCTTGTTTGCTTTCCTAGCGTGTCTGTGTTCAAAAAGTAGAGGGAAAGGGGAAAACAAGCCAAGTAAAGAGATGAGACAGCGAGCACCGCCACTCCGCACCGGCCACCGCGGGCGTCACGGCGGGCCGTCGGTGTGTGCGGGCCAGCCCTCACGCGATGCAACACGCCACACCCAACAGGGAGTGACAGACAGACAGGCGGAGAGAGATAGATGAATGGACGCCGTCAAGAGGCACTCACAATCCACATGGCCCGTGAGCATGCGGCCACTCCACACAGGAACACAGCAGGAAAGGGTGAGAGGGGAAAAAAGCAAGAAGCAGCACAACACACAAAAGAAACAAATTACAAGCGGGAAAAGCACCGCCACGGCCCTCGCCCTGGCCGGCAACTCCACACCAGCCCTCACACACACAGACACCATCGCAGTGCTGTCAGTCCGCGGGGGAAAAGATTCGGCCCTCCACACAACAAACGCACACCAAGCGAGCAATCACCCAAAGTGCCGCACGCAGAAGCGATCCCTCACCCATCCATGACGCGGCGCCTTACTCCACGCGGTCACACGGAGTGCGGCATTTCCTCAGAACTAATCCTTCGTACATCCCTTGAAAATGCTTCTGTCAATGATGGGCATAAAAAAAAAAAAAAAAAAGAAAATGGAAAATGCATTAGCACCGAAACACCGCCAGACGCAATATTTCTTTCATAACAAAGCGATTATACGATTGTTCCTAATATGGACACAGGTGTACGAATTTATAAAAATTAACTTTTTTTTCACAATAAACAGAAATTTCCCTTTTCTTTATTATTCTTAAAATGGTATGATCGATAGCGTTGCTCGTTTTTGACAACTTTATGCAATAATGCCGCTCGGTACTGTCAAACCCGAGCCGTATGCACACACAACTAACATACCATATAAAAACCACCCGATGTTTTTCACCAGAAACCAAGCAACCCCACTCCCTCCCTAATTTTCTTCGGTCACTGTTATGCTCGATAGCGTTGGAGATTTTTGGCATTCGTGTGCGGTGCTGCCGCCTGGTGCTGGTGCACCCGCAATGTATACACACACACAAGTATCCAAAAATATATAAATCTCACAATATTTTCTACCAGAAATAAAAGTTGCCCCTTCCCCAATTCGTTTTCCCCATTTCTTTAGTTATTGCTGACTTCAGGTGGCCTGTTTTGCAATAACATTTCGGCTGTTACCGTCACTTGATACTGGTGTACCTTTTCCTCCCAGAACGCCGCTATTTCACGATTCTCAGCTTCTGTTAAATTCGCCGAATCATGACATCTCTGCCAGTCACTTATCGGCGTGCTGTCTGCGTGCTGCACATAAATAATCTCCCACGACATGTCTCGGGATAATTCCTCCCAACCGTTAAAATAACTCGCCACACGCTCCTTAAACAGCCTCACATTGCTGGTTTGGGTGTGGTGTGCATTTGCCGTAGTCGTCCGCAGCCCAACCAGCGCTTTCCGCGGTGACTCCATGAAGAAAAGGGCATCCACCAGCGGAAATTTTCCGACAGCCAGTAGGTACAATACCCCGCACTCCAAATCCATCCTGTCAGGGTTGCCACGCAGTTTTTTTAATGTTTCACTGCGGGTGGGGTGACCTCGAGGTTTGTTGCTCAATACCGAAAACTGCGACGTTATTCGTCCTTCTGTAGCTCAGTGAGTTTTCTTTGTATTATATCCACGGCATGCGGATTCATAAACGCAGCCGTGCCTGCATACTCAAAGACAACCCACAGAAAGCAACCGAAGTTACGCAGCAACAGATTGAAAACATCGACCGGCGGCGTCATATTTGTTAGATGCTGAGTTATCGTAGCCATGGCCGAACGGGAGACCGGTGCGTTGCAACCTACTTCGATTCCTGGCTCTTCTCGCACTCGGACAAATCTCACGATTGTGTGAGAAACATACTCAGCAATCCAAATTTTACTCCTTCCCACACCCATGTAATCCGTAGAATTAGAAGGTTCAATAAGTTTTACAGCTTTTTCAATCGCGGACAATTGAATTTTATATTCTAACTGATTGAAGATACAAAGTGGGATCGGACCCACTTCATCCATGCGCTCCTCCACCGTTTCCCAGTATTTCGCCTGTTCCCTCACTTGTTCCCCCGTGGGCTGCATGTGCTTCCTCCAAAAGCACATCGCCTTCACATCAATCCTGTCAGGACAATTAATTATGAGTGGCACCGCTGTCTTATGCCTCCTCCATCCCTCAAAGTTATTCTCGTTTGGTGTTGTCAGTACAATCATGCCCCATTCGAAAGGAACAAAAAAAACCGACGGATTACGACCCTTCACTAACACATCGTAAATGACATACCCTTTCATCCCATGCTTCCACAAACTCGAGATAACACTCCTCGACATTTCATTAATATCGTATCTTGTCACCGTCTTGATGGCCTTGTCACACACGTATGTCGTACTTCCACCAAAACTGTAGACAACCATTTGGAGTTTCTCGACGTCGCAGTGCAGCAGCTGGTAGAGGAGGTACGAACCGGCACCCATCGACTTCCCGATCCCGGGCGTCCCAATCAAGAGATGCTGCTTGGGCTTAAAGTCGGTCCCACCGTGAGGGCTGAACCATTCGGTTAGATCGCCGCTGACGATCTGCCACGCTCGATCCACCTCACAGTTAACACACAAGTCATTACCGGCCCTATGCGGCCCATTCATCGTGTACGGCCATCCCTTGTCCGAGGTGAGCACCATCAGCCTGGGACGCGGTGCACCGGATTGCTGCACACCGTCATCCTTTTAGAGGGATTCGCCAACTTTCTTGTACTTCCATGACTGTTTCGGTTTCCCCTTCTCCACCTTCATTCCCATTTCTGTTTGCTCTTCCTCACAATCGGGTATTTCCACGACATGGCTCCACCTCGCATTGTACACAGACTGGTACACTCCCTTCAGCACCGTTGATTTAACCACCTTCGTTGATGTCTGCGCCTGAAAAAGGGCTGCGTTTAGTTTTCCCCTTGCAAGAGGAGTGACCGTATCCTTTCCTTCATAGTCCCTCCATTGCTCGAGAGAGAACACACCCTCGTGATGAAGCTTGTACACCTGGTACTCTGTTAAATTAAAAATAATTCTAAGAAGCCGCTGGTCTTGTACGTAAGCATCCGGCTCCTGAACAAACACCTGCATCGTCACTTTGTGGTCTTCACCAACGGCCGTCCTGCCGCCAACATAATTACGAAGGAATTCATTCAGCTTCATGTCGGTCCTGAGAGTGCTTCCCTCCAGCAGGATTTCCTTTACGCTGCTTCTCATGGTCCACTGCGGTCGCCTCATTCCCTCCACTCCTCTGCGAGTTGCAGCGTCGGAACCATCACCGGAGATGCCGCTTCGAGGCGCCATCGCAACACCCGTGCGGTGAAGCATCCCACTCGCACCGCCCAACCGCGGCCAGCAGGTGCCGCTGGCTCCAAAGGACACTCGCGGCTGTTTCGTCCCGCAGTCCCAATGGCGTTGGGCGTGGCGCTCGCATGGCGGGGCGGTCGGTGCGCCATGCAGCCGCACTGCAACGCCTGTCGGTGAAGCAGTCAAGGCCCACCGCCCCCGCAGCAACACAACGTGCAATCGGCAAAAACAAAGCCACATTATCGCCCTTTTCTGTATTATTCACGTTGTCGGTCTGTTTGCCCCATCACCGACACAAAAAATAAGTGCACACCTTCACAGAGGGAAAAGTAAAAAGTAGGCACATTCCTACCGTCCCGCCGCGGGCCAACACTCTCCTCCACCCACCACCATTGCCGCGCAGGAGACCGCACTCATATCGCAGAGTCAGCACCACAATGTGCACCACACCACCGTGCACTGAACAATGGGCGAGACGCGGCCATGCACCGCCCGCTCCATTTTCCCACCACTCAAGTGTTGCGCGCCCGCACAAAGTGGCAAACAGAATCAGAGTGCACACAAACCCAATCAACACCCTCACTCGCTGAAGCACATTATTCGCATGGGGTGACAACTTTTGAGGACACACCAGCAGTAGCAGGCTGCATGGAATTTCCC